TGGAAGATACCTCCTCCTGATTTCTTCTTCCTGTTCATATTAAAATAGGAGGAAAGAGACCAGATTGAGGAAGGTCTTTAAAACCAAAGGAGGCTAGACTTGGAGGTTGTGAAAAATTTCAGCTTCTTCTAATGGCAAAGAACAATAAAATTAAGAAATGACTTTGAGACAAATATCATATCTATTGTAGCAATCTGTAATTTACTATATAGCAAAAGACAACATATTTTTCATTACATTCAGAATTAAACCTCTAATTCTTGCTATGGTCTTTAAAACCCCCTTATCTTCTATTCAGCTAATCACTCTCTTCCCTACCTCTCTGGGCTCCAGCCAGGCTGAGTTTCTCCCTTATTCTTGAATACACCAAGCTGTCTTCCATCTAAGTGACTTTCTGTATTTTCCATTCTCTCAATTTCAAATGCACTTCCCCCATTTTTTTCATGGCTGGCTCTTTCTTGTCATGCAATCTTTTGATTTGTACTTTCAGATGCATCAATTACAAAGGGAAGAACTGAATGGAGAGGCAAAGCTGCTCCAAGGAGATGACATTTTAGCTGTGACCTGAATGGCAGAAAAAAAAACAATCTATTAGTATCTACAAAACCTTGGAATCTCAGTGCCACCCTTAAAGTTGTCCCAGATATTTCAGGGAATTCAGGAATATGTCCCATGTGGCTCACTCAGGCCTTTGGCCTACTAACCTCCATGAGGATGTCACCTTGGTTCTCTATAGTAACATCACTTCCCCTCTTAGGGCCTCACCTCCTGGTTCTCCCCAAACTGCAAAACCCCCAGAAGCTGTGGCACTTACTGAGCTGGGGTAGGGGGGTCATGGAGCTCCTCAGAGTACTGGCAGCTTGCCCTCTCCTTCATCCTCGGTAGAGCTATGATAAGAGGACCTCAAAGTAGCCCATCTTATGCCACGTGTCTTAGAAGTTATTGCAGAAAAATACTTTCTAGAATATTTTTTGGGAGTGAGGGGCTGGTCTTCTGTCTTCTCAGAATACAAGCCTAATATTCTTAGTGGTTTTATAAGAAAAAGAATAGAGACTGCAGCTAGTATGTTTGCTCTGTCTTTACACATGATGCCCTCTACCATATTGTGATGCAACAAGAAGGTCCCCCACCAATGCCAGTATCATGCTCTCAAACTCCCCAATCCATAACTCTAAGAAACATGTTTCTTTTCTTTATAAATTACCCAGTTTCATGCATTTTGTTATAGCAACACAAAACCAAAGACAGATCTCTGTACATATTGATACAGCCTTTTTCCAATTCTATTAACAGAAACACAGAATATAATCATGAAATTTTAGTTCAAGAAGCTCCTATTTTATTGAAGCTGTGATCAAAGACTAAAAAGGTGCTACAATTTCTTTTGGTCTGTTCTTTCCAAATTTTTTTTCCACAGAATTCTCCCCTTCTTTGGCCAGACTCTGAAAGTGTGGGCTTGGTGTTTTATCATTATCCCCTTTCTTCCCCTTAATAAATTTCAACGAAAGAAATAGGACCAAAGAAAAGCCTGCCTCAGGGAATATGAATATCGAGGGGCCATGTGGAGCCAAGTGGAAGCCTTTAAAGTAACTTCATCCTGTTTGGACGGTGAACTCTCCCAGGCAAATGCAGTCATTACACAAATTCACGAGTGAGTGTCCTGGCAGAGTGAACGCTTCCTAGCTGTATCTGCATGGGGTCCAACAGCAGGCTGGAGGTTGAGACAGTCTGACCTGGCGATGGAGGCCAGGGAGGAGGTCCACACTCTCTTCTTGGTTTACTCTAGGGCTTAGGAGGGTCCTCTCCAGCCGAGGACACTGTTTTGATCCCACTAGGGTGACGTCCATTCCTCTCCCTGGGATGACCCTGCTGACTCACTCAGCAACCCTCAGCCATTTTTAACTTCACACGGAAACCTCTTCTTGAGCCTCAGAGGCAAAAGCCATGAAGTTGTCACCAACCTTGAAGACAAGACAAATTGTGTCTCATCCATCAATCTTCTCATCAATCAGTTCCACCCTCCCCCCTTGGTGATCCCACAAAACACACACACACACACACACACACACACACTCACACACACACACACACACCCCACTTACAAAATAGCATGGAGACATAAAGGCTACAGATTGTTTCCCATTCTTGTATATTTATTGGAACTTTGTGTGTGTGTGTGTGTGTGAGTGTGTGTGTGTGTGTATTCAGAAAGAGAGAGAGATTCTTACGTAGCTGACCTACGTCTTGATGACATCCATTAGAAAGAGTATTTGACTTACTGGAGGGGTTGGGGGTAATTTGGAGAAAGCTGAGGCAAGGCGTTCTTGCTCGGATTATGGCTACAGAGTTCAGAGCAGCCATTAGAAGAATCTCTAGAAGTATCTCTAGGGACTGAGTTTACTTGCTCCCATACACAAGGGAGCTTTGCAGCTCTCACTTGTCCCTAGGAAAGGTTTCCAGTACCAACCCACAGTACACAGTTTTCATTATCCCCAACTGGGATTTTTAATACTCTCCATCTCTACAAACAAATGATTGCATGTATTTTCTGACTCTCTGACCACCAAAAACTATACAACTTGTCATTGCTTGGCATGGTTATGGAATATTTATAGACCGAATTCAGATGACAGCATGTGATGGACCATTCGTTGGCCTAGAAATTAAAGGATGTATATTCTGGTTCTTTCTTGGCATATATGTAAACTTGGACAAATCCTGAACCCCTTTGAGACTCAATCTCCCCACCTTTAAAATGGAGATGATGGTAATATCTGCTCGATAGCCACCCAAGTCAGATATCGGAAGAATCCGAGTATAAGAAATAACTTTTAAAATGTGTGCTCCCAAAGAGAGGCATCCAGATTTCTGTCAGCTCGCAGTTTGCTCAACGGGGCTGCATGGGCTCCGGGGGCACATGCTGCCGAAGCATCCTATAGGATATATTAGTGGTTCCCAACTGGAGGTGCCTCTGCCCCCAAGTGACATTTAGTAATGTCTAGAGACAGCTTTAATTGCTTCAATTGGCAGCAGGTAAGGAGGATACTACCAGATCTTAAGGTAGAGGGAAGGGATGCTTCTCAACATCCCACAATATATAGGACATCTCACATCAAATAATTTCCAAGGCCAAAATGTCAATCATGTGGACAACGAGAAACGTTGATGGGTACATGAGCTTACACCTGTTCCTTAAAACCGGTAATCAGTCACTGGGTGATTTGATATGTTGCTGATCCTTTGATGCGATCTTGAAATCTTTTCCTCAGCAGCTTAGCCAGGTAGAAGGTGCGTCGTCCCTTGCAGTAATCACATTGAGAAGAGCCCATGAAGTCTCTTAATTAGTAATTTTCAATGCATGGTCCTCAGACTAGGAGCAGCAGCATTCCCTGGGAGCATGTCAGAAATACACCCAGACCTGCTGAATTCATGGGGTCCCTGCAGGCTGTTTTTAACAAGCCTTTCCAGAGACTTGAATTCATGCTGTAGTTCAAAAACCACTGAGTATAATGACTAAACAATCATTCCAATTCTGATTTTGCCACTTTTAACTTGGGAAAATGCATTAGCTTGTGTCCAGCTGTGTGGACTCCTGGCAGGGATCTCCCTGCTAGCTCCTCTCTGCTTCAAGGAGCTTTGGCAACCTCTAGCTGCAGAAAGCAATTATCATTATGACTTAGACCTCCTATTACAAGAGGCCTTGCTGAGAGAACCACCTAAGGGGAGCAATGTCACCAGCTGGCACACATTCTGTTTTGATTAGGCCCTTGTGCTGATGGGCTTCTCTCTCGTGGGTGAGGGCTGGCTCTAAGTTCAATAGCAATATAACTCAAAACTGTGGGTACGGCATGCCATGGAGCAGGACTCTTGCTGAAAAGTCCTCCCTGCATGCTATCAAAGCATAAACAGAGGTGGTTAAGATAGAGGTGGCCAGAGCCTGTGACTTTCTCTTTATAAGAAGCTCTAGAAATTTACTAGAGGGCCCACATTTAAACCCCACTGAGAAGGGAAGATGGAAAATTCTTCTGAACGCCAGACCTTATCTAGTCCTAGCTCTCTGACATGTTCTCTGACCAGAGAAAGGTTGACTGTAAAATTCTCTGAGCTTGACATCTGGGACATTCCCTGCATAGACCTCTTATGGTGACCCTGGGAAGAGTCTGAGCAATCTGTCCATATGATGATAGATTTTGATTATATTGCAAAAGTAACTTATTTATTTATTTAGCATCAATTGCTTAAGACCACTGCTTCTCCCCATTCTGGCTTCCCCTTTGTCTCATTTCCTCTGTGCTGGGTGAAAATGGAGTAGCCAAAGGCATTTAAGAATCCAGTTTTGGGGAAGCCTAGTTGGAAATCTATTTAGTTTGGTTTAGTGGAAATATTATTAGATTCTCAGTCATTTCCAGATGTAGTCATTCCAGTTTAGAAAAGAAAGATTTCTAGAGATTATCTTACTATCCACTGTGTATTTTGGGGCCATGTTTTGACCCCAAGGTGTGGGATAGGGGTCACGCTGTGATATAAGACCTCCTACAACACCAACACTCAGAATATGTGGGTGGCCAAGGAAACAAAGTTTGAAGTGTTTGGAGCCAGATGCTGGTCTGGGGAAAAAACTAATTATCAGATGTTCTAAATGGACAATCAATGGCTATTTAGGACAGATATTCTCTTCTGTTGGGAATGTACTTGATATTGTGGGATGCACAAATAAATTCTATCAATTTTTTTTTCTTGTACTAGGGAGTGAATCCAGGGATGCTTAACTACAGAGCAAAACTCCAGCCTTTTTTTTTTTTTTTTTTTTTTTGAGACAGGGTCTCCTTAAGTTGCTGAGGCTGGCTTTGAACTTCTGATCCTCCTGCCTCAGAACCTCTGAGATTACAGGCATGTGCCACCATACCCAACTTAATACATCTGTTTTAGGAAAATAGCAAGAAATAGAATTTTTCAAATTTCTATATTTGTAGAGAACACCAGCAGACATACTACAAATAACAAGTGTGTAAAAACCACAAATTTTATGCATTCTTAGACATCCCATAGTTTTTAAAAAAGTGACTATGTCAGAGGAATGTTTGAGATATATTGCTAGTTCTCTATTTAAGATATGGTATATAACATAATAAAACCAGTATTCTACAAAGAGATGATAAAAGAGCTTCATATGTTGAAATCCTGACCCCCCAAAATGATGGTACGGTATGGGGTGGGGAGTTGGGGTGATTAGGTGACATTAATGGAGCCCTCATGAATGGGATCAGTGCCCTTGTAAAAGTGGCCTCAGTTCTCTTGATCTGTTTCACCCACATAAGTCACCAGGACAAGTTGGTAGTGTGAATCCATGACACTCTGGCCCCTCAAAGGTAACAACTCCATTTGCTTCCTTGAGTTCTTCTTGGTTCAAGATATCCTTAGTTGTCTTACAATCTAAATGGACAGAAATGCAAACATGGAATAAATATTACATTACAGCTCTGTGAATTATTCACATAAAGGTTAATAGGGAAGAAAAAGACTCAAAGTGAGGGGTATCTTCTCTGTACAATTGTCTTCCAAACACACATGCTGGGATTATAAACAATGCAACCAAGGGGGTGAGAATGATCTGGTGCTTCCTGGAGACCAGAGCAGAGGACCATATGGAGTATCAGGAGGCTGCCAAGGTCGGCTTCATGGTGAAATCTTTTTCAGCTGCTCCTCCAAATGGCTGCTTTCAGCCGGGTTCAGCAGCTTAGTGTTGGAGCTTGAGAAGGGGGGGATCCTTCAAGGCTGCAGCTGAAAAATCCAAAACAAAACCTTGCTAAATGTGCTCCAGCTTTTCCTGTCCTGATACAGACAGCTGTGTGTGGAGCTTGTAGACGTCAAGGTTACAGAACATTTCAAATAGAAAAGCAGGTCCCAGGATCTCCCAGGCAATGAGAAGAGGATTTGCTTTGGGGGGAGGGTTGGTAAAGAAAATAGTTGATGTTTGTCATCAAGTTATAGTCATTGGGAATAAAAGGCAAAGTGATGGGCTCCAGAGAGGTCTTCATTCTGTGGGTCCTTGGTAATCATCCCCAAGCAATGTGAGAAGCTCACCCTTAAAATAATTAGAGAGCAAGGAAGACCTTGTATTCTGGGCAAAGCAACAGAAGTAAAGTCATGCCAAGGCTCACTTAAGAGACATAACCTCACAACGTAAACCGAGTTTAGTTGCTGGAAGAATTTCTTTTTCTGAGCCGGGTGTGGTGGTGCATACCTGTAATCCCAGTGGCTCGGGAGGCTGAGGTAGGAGGATTGAGAGTTCAAAGTCAGCCTCAGCAATTTAGTGAGGCCCTAAATAACTCAGCGAGATCCTGTCTCTAAATAAAATACAAAAAAGGGCTGGGAATGTGGCTGAGTGGTTAAGAAACCCTGGGTTCAATTCTCTGTATATTTAAAAAAAAATCCCAAACTGTTGGGATTACAGGTATGTGCCACTGAGCCTTACTATCCTGTTTATTTTTATTGTCTCCTATGGGTTCTCTTTCAGTTGATGAATGAATGAATGTCTTTTGGGGAGTGAGTGCTAGAGATTGAACCCAGGAGCATTCTCCCTCTGCTACATCACCAGCCACTCCCAATTTTTTTTTTTTTTTTGAGAGAGGGTCTTGCTAAGTTACTAAGGCTAGATATGAACTTGAAATCTCCTGAGTTGCTGGGATGTTTTACTGGGATTATAGGCATGTACCACTGTACCCAGCTGAATGTCTTTTAAATAAAGAGCAATAATTAGGCTAAAGAAAGAAATTCATGAATAAAAAAACTTCCTCTGCCAATGTAATGCCAGTGTCTCGGGGACCCCAATAGACCTCCAGGAGATGAATCAGATGCAACCACGGAAGAGTCTTTATTGCAAGCTCCATCCTGGACTCCCAACCATTTCCAATGCAGTGGTCCTAGGGAGTGAGTCCGGGGCCTTTGTTCAGTGAGGATTTATAGGTTTTGGGGGGATACTCCATGCATCACAACATCACACAGCAAATCATTTCATACCACAGGAAAATCAAACAACAACTCTTAACATTGATTAGCACATTCACTGGCAGGAAAAAGTTGGGTAGGGGTGATTGGTTGGTACAAGAGGGGGATTCGTTTGAACTGATTGGTTTAAGCCATAAGGGGTGTACGTGCTAAACTCCATGGTTTCCCAACATGTTATCAACCACCATAAACTACTGGGGGGTCATCTGGCATCCCAGGTATTTTCCCTGTCTTATGCTGATTGGAGGTTGCTAGGGGGTTGCTATGGGTCCTCACCTAGCTTAACTGAGTCAGGGACACCTGGTGCCACAGATCTCTCCTGTTATTTACAGACAAACAACTCAGCAGAGTGGCTATCTGCCTAGAAAGGCTCCGTGGGTTTTTTTCCAAGGATAAAGGTCACGCCCCCTTCCTTAGGACAGGCCTTGAAGTAGAAGTTGCTATTATTTATTTATTTTCAAAAATGGAGTCATCAGTTTCTCACCAACAGCCTCAGTCCCAAGGCCTCGTTTCCCTTGCTTTCACCAGGTTTGTGATTCTGCCAGAGCGGTACCTTGCCAAGTGGCCCCCCCAGATCAGCGGCACCAGTAGCCCCTGCATACTTGATGTAACACCTACCCAGCCCTTTCCCATCTTCTGAATCAGAATGTCCAAGAGTGTTCGGAATGTCCAATCAGGCCCAGCAATCTGACTTCATAAACACTCTTGTATGATGAGGCCAACTATCCCAGAGGTCACAGAATATGTCTCATGGACAAATTGAGGTGCTTGCGTTGATTTAAAACACAGCCAGAAGCCAGGGGAAGGAAGGGGTCAGGATAACACACGTATGCTGGGGTGCAATTCAACAGTGTGCCCAAGTGTTTGAGAACAGCCTCGCTGGAGTGTGTGCTGTAATAGTCTTTACCTTAAAGACATTTTCCTGCTGGGTTGCTGTGCTTTTCCTCTTTGGAAACCAGAGCCCCGTTTCATTTGCTTGTAAATGGAATCACACAACATCTGCAGCCTCTAGACTAAGGCTGTTTCCTCACTGACAGATGCTACAGGAGTTAGATCTTCCCGGATGCCCACAGGCTGGGCCCAACTTACATGCTGGCTCTTTCCGGAGGGAAAATCCCCAGGACACAGGGAGGAAAGGTGACACAGGGAAGCATCAGGACAAAGCCACTGCACGAGGGGATTTCTGCCCCACTGCATCCCAGTTGGGCTTGCACTGTCTTTGGGAAGGTCACCCTGTTATCAGCTTCACAGTCATTACCAGCAGGCTCAGAACCAGGGGAGACAACAGAAGCAACCGAGTTCCCACTTGGGTTAGCTCTTCCTAACCCAAGAAGGTCCTGGAGAGGAATCCAGCATCTAGGGCTAAAATAATCAAACATCATTTTTATATTTCCATGAATTTTTTAAAATTACAAATAGACTTAAAACTAATACCCTGCTTAATTCTAATCACAAATATAATGCATTCATTGCAGAGAATTTGGGAAACATGAAAGTGATACCAAAAGTTTGGTCTTTGTCCCTAGCTGATCCAATAACAAGGACTAGGTTTTGAGAAAAAGGAAAAAGTTTCATGGCTTTGCCAGCAAAGGAGAAAGGTGATGGACTCAGATCACAAGAGACTGCCATTCTAATTGCCAGGGGGAACAAAGGACTTCAAAAATGGGGGATACAAGCCTGATGCTGTGGTGGCACATGCCTGTAATTCTAGCAGTTCAGAAGCCTGAGGCAGGAGGATTGCAAGTTCAAAGCCAGCCTTAGCAACTTAAAAAAAAAAAAAAGTTGGGGGGGGGCAGAGACTATTTTTTTAAGTATCATTATCAATAGATCTAATTAATGTTGGACTGAAATTCTTGGAAGAGCTCTTGTTCCAGTTTCCAAGTCCGAAGTTTCTTTATTCTTGAGGACAGTGAATAGAAAATCGAATGAGTTGGCTTAGGACAGGAAAGATGTTAATCTTGCCTTCATGGTGGTTGGGGAAGGAAAGAAGGATAGAAGAAGAGAAAAAGAAAAAGTCACCAATGTTTGAATAGGAAGGTTTATATTCAAAGCATAAAGTGGATCCCTGTGACATGAAAGGAATTCTTGTTACCAAAGAATGAAGAAAATTTAAATCCTCCATTACTCACTGCCAAATAATGACCACTCTTAATACCTCAAGAATTGCAGTTGAAATATAGAAAAATAAATAATAAAAGCACTTATAATATTATAGAGTAGGAAATTCTGATTATTTTATTTAATACTATGCTATTTCTCATAAACATCAATTTTTAATGACTACAAAGTGTTCTATCATATTAATTTATTTAGCCATTTTCCCACCGTTAAAGATTAAATTCTTGCCAGTTTAATGCTAATACAATCAACATGTTTGGGTCTTTCTTTGCATCTCTATTTCTTTAGGATTGGTTCTTACATGTGGAATTATTGGGTCAGATGGCATTTTGTGAGACTCCCGTGAGGTAGGAGATCTGTGTCTAGCCAGGGAAGAGCACAGAACTGGAAGGTTTGCCAGAGATTTGCCATGTGGTCCTGAACAAAACCACTTTCTCTCTCTGGATATTTTCCATCATTAAATGGAAGAACTGGAATAGGCCCTTGCCTCTCAAAACCAAGTGCTGTGCCCTTCAACTAAGAAGGAAAAAGCAATATTTTTATGTGACAATAAACTCGGGGATATTATGGAACAATTATAGAACTGGTGTTTTTCTTTTAAGATAAAAATACAAAACTTCAAAGAAACTTCCTGCTTGTATTGGACTAGTCAGACCTCCCCGAAGTCCTCTCCCAAGAAAGTGTTCTCTGTCCTTGGTCAATAGGGCTAGGTCAATGACGGAGTTTGAGAAGGACTGGACAAGATGATCTTGAATGTACTGAGAGTCTGGAGGTTCAGGGCGTACATGGTTCCTGGCATGCAAGCTGCAAAATCTTTAGCAAACCTTCCAGGCCTGTAATTAGCCTTCAGCCTTGGATTGAAGCATTTTCACGTATTTTTCTATTGCCTAGTTTCATGTTGATTCAGGTTAAAACACTTATGAGTGTATTTTTAAAACCTCATCAATCTGCCTTTAACATACACATCACAGTGAACTTCACAGAAGCTTACTTTCAGGTACTTCTTTACTCATACAAAAACATTTATATATTTATATTTATATATATATATTATGTGTATATATATATACATATTGTTATTATGTATATATAATGTATATATACATTTTTATATATATACACATATTATTGTGTCAGACAATATTATGATACACCATGCACAGAGAAGAATAGGATATAATCTTATAATTTATTTTTTCACAAATTATTACCCAAGATGCTGGATGTTAATAGGTATCATTTTTAAAAGTGTCCAATATCAAATATGTTTGAAAAGTGCTAAATTAAATTAAGTAGGTTTATTTACAGTGGCACTTTCAGAGCCTTTAATATGCTGACATGCATTGTGAATTCTCACCAGGGAAATAAAGCACACGGTATTCCTTAAAGAATTGTTTTAGAAAACTCTTCACATGGATCATCTTCAAGAACAAGAGAAACACAATTGGAGCAACACTGACCTAGTCAAATCTAATCTGAGCATTTACTCAACAAACAGGTAGTAATTTTATAGTGGCAATAAAATGCAGGGAAACTGAAGACAGGTTATTCCTCTTGGAAAATCCTTCAATGTAATAGAGGACATCCCTGAAACACATGCAGGAAATACCCACAAACAAATGAAAGTCAATGTGAAAGTGCTGATAGAGGTGTGGAAGCAAAAACAACTGCAAAGGAGATGAATGGAATGAATCAAGGATAGTTTCATGCAGAAGCTGGTTTTTTATATATAATTTTCTTGAAGAATTGAGATTACAGAATTCTAGAAATAAAAATGGAATGCTCATTAAGGAAAAAATGAATAAAAACATGGAGAAAAGTAGAATAAATAAATAAATGCACACACATATTTATACACATAAATACACACATGCTATACATAGGTGTGCACATGCATATTTTTTTCTTTTAATGAGGGACAATTTTCTATTAGCATATTCTATTGCAGTCAAAAATAACACAGTGTTTACCATCTTAAACTTTTTTCTTTTCCATCTTAAACTTTTTTAAGTGTACAATAGTGTCAACTATATGAACATTGCTGTACAACAGGTCTCTATGCATTTTTCATCTTGCTAAACTAAAACTCTCCTTTAATTGAACAACGTTCCCTTCCACTTCCTCCCAGATCCTGACAACCACCATTCTACTTCATATTTCTAAGTATTTAACATGCTTTAAATAACTCGTAACAATGGAATCATGCAGCATTTTTCTTTTTGTTACTAGCTTATTTCATTTGGCATAATGGATTTCACATACATTGCATCGTATGGCATGATTTTACTGTTTTTAAGGCTAAATTATATTCCACTGTATGTGTATATCACATTTGCTTCATCATTCATCCGATGATGGACAGATTAGGTTTGTTTCAATTCTTGGCTATTGCAAAGGAACGTGGTGTGCAAATGTCTCTTGAAGATCCCGTTTTCAATACTTTTGATCAAATGCTCAGAAATGGGATTTCTGGATCACATTATTCTATTTTTTTATTTGTAATTTTTTTGAGGAAACCTCCATATTCCACAGTGGCTATGTCATTTTACATTCCCACCAGTAGTACACAAGAGCCCAAATTTCTCTACATCCCTATCAATACTTAGTCTTTTCTATATTTTTAATAATGGCCTTCCCAAAAGGTATGAGGTGATGATCTTATTGTGATCTTGATTTGCATTTATTCCTGGTTACTGATGTTGAGCATCTTTTCATGTGCTTTGTGGCCCTTTGTTTATCTTCTTTGGAGACTATCTAAGTCTTCTGTCCTTTTTCTGGTTGGATTGTTTGTTTTGTTGTTGTAGTTGTTGAATTGCAGGAGTTCTTTCCATATTCTGGAAATTAACCCACTATGAGGTATATGATTTGTAAATATTCTTCCCATTGCATAAGGTTGTCTTTTCACTCCATTGATTTTTTTTTTTCCTTTGCTACACAGGTATTTAAAGTTTGACAGAGTCTCAGTTTATTTTTGCTTTTGCTGCTTGTGCTTTTGGCATTGTATCCAAGAAATCATTGCCAAACCCAGTGTTTTCCCTGGTGTTTTCTTCTAGAAGTTTTATTGTTCCAGGGCTTGAATTTAGGTCTTTAATCCATTTCAGTGGATTTTTGTTTATGGTAGAAGGTAAAAGTCCAGCTTCACTCTATTGCTTTTACATATTTGTTTCCCCCAACACGTTCTGCTGAAAAGATTCGTCCCCATTGTATAACATTGTCCCCTTTGTTGAAGATCATTTGACCTCGTACATAAGGGATTATTTCTGGGCAATTTTGTCCTATTTTTCTATATTCTGTTCTTATGTCAGTCCTAAGCTGTTTTGATTACTGTGTCTTCATAATATGTGTTGAAATCAGGAAATGTGAGGCCCTCCCAGTCTTATTTTTCTTTCTCCAGATTGTACTGGATTATTTTGAGGTCATTTGAAATGCTGTATAAATTTAAGGATT